GGCCACAGCCGAAACCTGCTAGCGGCCTCCAGCATTCACCGGTGAGATTTCTGTTCATGGGGCACGGAAGTTGGCTCCAAATGCGCTTCAGTGAGTGCAAAAGCTCGAAAGCAAGGTCGGGACTTCACTCCTGTCTAGGCAGCGCACGCAATGCCGCGATCATCGTCCGAATCGTTGTCATCGTCGTCGCTGTCACTGGCCGATGACACGTCCTGTAGCTAGCATTTCAACATGGCCTCAAGGGAAACACAAATATTTGGATTTCCAGCGTCCTCGCACGCAGGCTTTGCCGTTGTGTAGAGGTAAGACCACACCTGAACATGAAGATTCACAAGAAAAGGGCACTGGCAGATGCAAGGTCCGACCGCCCGGGGCCCGAGTAGCATGTCCCACAAGAGCAACCCAATGAAAGAGCCTGATCCATGTCGTCAAGAGGAATACCTGAGCATGTCGCAGAAAGGAACGAAGCCTTCGACTTCGAAAAAGTCGATGCTGCTGTCCAAAATCGCGCATGGCTCAGGGTCTCACCACCTCCACAATCAGACCTCCACCACATGGCAAGCACTTCTGTATTAGTGCATTGTCGAGGTTGTTACACTCAGCCCAAGCACGAGGAGCATGTCAGAGACAGTCATCTCAGCACAAGACACTCGCAGCACGATGGTGTCATCATCGCCGCAAACGACGACACCTGCTGCGGTGCTCTAGAAATGCGACGACGCACCGTACTTCCACAATTCCAGAATCCGCTGCCAAGTTCAGTGATCGAGATACGACGGCACTGGGAAGCCAACGAATGGGGTAGGCTTCTGCAGCTTCTCTAGAGCCATACCTGCCAAAAGAGTGTGAGGGGACGAGATGAAGAATCTCAGTGATTACCCTATCCTGCAGGAGATCCTCCTCTCAAGCGGAAACACGAAGTGTCGACGAAGTCGGCCGCACCTCTCAACCACCGCGCGCAAGGAGTTCTTGATCAGCTCGAACCTCGGGTCGAATCGAGAAGCAAGCCACAGCAAGCCTGTTTAGAGCTTCGGCCCTCAGCTCTTGGCATGATGTAGTTCAGGTACTGCTTGATAAAGGGAAATCGCACCTGTTACTGTCTCGATCTGTCTCGGCGAGGGGATGATCCAGAAGGATGAGGCACCCTCTGCTAGTTTGCCGGACCTGGCCCACATCCACAATGTCGATCGGCGGGCTCCAGCCGTAGTGATGCCTGAAAACCGGAAACCCTTTCAAAGGCAAGAGCCACTCTAAGATGAGCTCCTGCACAGGGTAGCAGCATCGCCGGCGGCCGTGCGAACCACATCAACCTTCAGCAGGGCTTGAGACTAATGTAACCCTAAGGGGTGTGTTCTTCGCTGAGTCCCGGACTGGGTCGCAGTCAGGAGTGACAACTGAAGTAGGGGAATCTGGCCTGAGTCGGAGCTGGCTGAAAGCAAGACAAGGCTTGCGCCTGCACTGAACTCTGGACTTTGTGATTGCCAGGTACTGCGAGGACAAGATATCCGTCCCTATCCGGGCAGTGAGGAACTCGTCCAGAAATCGGTTAACCTCGCGCCGTGGGCATCCAGGGGCTTCGAAGTCTCTCCGAAACCCTCCGACCTGCTCCTCCGAGAGCGCATGCTTCGCACGCATTGTGCGGACGCCCCTGCCAAATCTCAATATGTCCCTGAGCATATCCTGTCCTTTCCCTGCACATCAACGAGCCATGCCTCATAACGTGAAACAGCATGTTGGCGTTTCGTCGCTTGATATCTTGCAGCATGCTTCTGAAGCGTTCCTTGACAGCGTCTTTGTTCCTCTCATGTTCGCTTGACGACAGCGCTGCAGTCCTCTTCTTCGGGAGGCACTGCACGAAGCTTGCGAAAAGCATCGAAGTACAAGGAGCCTTGCATCCAACGCGAGGTGCTATAGCCAAGCTGAAAGCACATCTCGAAGCGGGACATGTCTAAGCGGCCGGCGAATCACCCGCATGTGCGGAAAATCGCTCCAACGCGACAAGGACTGATCGAGCAATTGGCTTCAATTACGCTCTTCTTGATTGCTTGCAAATGAGTTACGTCAGAAACGCCTGAGTCTCCCGAGCGGAAGATGTCGCTCCCGTTGAATTTCTAAGGTCAGTCGCCCGGTCAGGCAAGCTAGACGATCATATGCAATACAGGTGCTACTTTACTGCATTCGATGCAAGCGATGGGCGCGAGCCATCCCAACGAGAGCACGCAATTGAACCGTGCTAGTGCGACATCGATGAACGGCTGAAGAAGCTATCATAATTTATCATAATCTTATGTCAACTGTTGTTTTGTGCTCTGACGCTGCGACAGAAAGCAATACCCTTGCTGCTTGGCTCGTGGAGGCGCTAGTTCCCGCTATCGCAGTACTCGTTCGCCGCGCACTCTTCGTGCAGTTGTCGCGTTTCCTTACCACTGCTTCATATTGCCCTTGTATAGTGCCACACGAATTTGCATGCCATCATACTGCTACGGCATGTCCAAGTGTTTTGCACATGCGTTGCTCTGCTGTTGTATTGCTATACTGATTCTTAGTTGCACACAGGTGCCTAGAAGACACGTTTCAGGAGGAACCTCAATGAGCTGCACTCGGCGAGCATACCGGATTGGCAATTCCTGGCATTTGCTGGAAAAGGTAGGACATCTACAGCCGGCATCATGCTTTTCAATTGCTTCTGTTCGCTGCCTCCAGCAGAAACTCACGCAAGCTCTTTGCATCTTGAAGGTGGAGGATTTGCTGAAGCGTCATCTGGCATGCAACAGGATGACCAACAAAACTATGGCGGCTTCAAGCTTGCAAGATCGCACCGGGTGGGGTCGCAGCGCCCTGGCAAAGTGGACCACCTCTGATTCCAGCAGCTCTTCAAATCGCTGCTTGGAAACCTTGACAAGACGAGGTCAGCTCAGGTTCCCTAAACCAACTTTTGATACCACTCCGGCCTCGATTGTGCCCGTTGCCATGTTCGACGAGATGATCGACGGCGTGAACATCGGCGTCGGCCGAGCTGGAGCAACTGTCGGGCATGACAATCGCCTGTACGATACACATTCGTCTTGATCGGGCAGAGCAGTCTCGAAATCAACACGACATGGTCAGCCGACCCCGATTTCCAGCTTGGGGACGACTTTCGAAACAATTGAAGCTTCCACAGGTGGAAACATCATGAGCATCATTTGGGCAGTCGCGCCTTTGTGAGAAGTTGGAGCTTAGTATCTAAGATGCTGCTGTCAAACTGGGCCTCAGAAGCGGAGACGTGCTTGCACAAGGGCAGAGTGGAGACCCGATGATGTTCAGTGTGTTGGCTCCCTCCGGGCGCGGTGGGGGGGACAATGGAAGCTGCAGCCCTCGGCATCACATACAGATCCCGCCAAAGCGTTCAAAATGATGCGCATGATGCTCTTGAAGCACTGGTGCGCCATGGTGGGTTGTGGCCGTTGCCGTGATGAGAGTAACTAAACATAAATCGACTTTACCTGAATCGTTCTGCACGGGCACTCTCGTCGTGACGCCGGGTGTGTTCCGCGGAACGACTATTCTTCGATTGGTCAGCTCCTGCGTACTATTCAAGCATGGTTGGCACCGATGCTGCTGTTGGCGCTTCCTTCATACAGTTCTTGAGTTTGGTTTCATGTGTGTACATATGTACATACATAATATACACACCTACATAGGCATACATACGCACATACGTACATAC